TAATGAGCCCACTTTCCTCTACATTAGTAAAAATACATTTTTGTTGAAGTTCTTGAAAGCTTAAATGGTAGGTATTCGTGGATATCTCGTAGACAGAATTATTATTAGAGATAAAACCAGAAACATTTGAAACAGTACAGAGACAATCAAAATACTCGAGTGACACACCCGGGATTCAAATTCCGAAAACCTCATAATACTATGCTAATTTGCAATCAACTGTACGCCATTAAGAAAATAAGAGACTTATATACTTAAAACATATAAATTATTATAGCCTACCACAGTAGACTTCTTCGCCAAATCTGAAGAATTCGATTGATTTTTTCTGGAGATTCGTAAAAAAAACTATATTATTTAATGTGGGGGTATCTTACAAAATTGCTGGAAAAAGTGGTTGTTTTTGTATATTTGTTGCTTGTAATAGATACTGTCAACGTACAAAATTTGGCTGAAATTGGTCAAATATTATGGTGGTTATATCAAATAAACCCAAAATATTAGTATCGTCGCCCTTTTGAAAATAGGTTCCTAATAAAGTTATATAACAGATATTTGAGTGTCCTATCTTAGTATTTCTTACGTGCCAAATTTAGCGAAAATTGGTTGAGTAGTTTTGGTGATTTAAGGGAAAAAATGTATTTATACATGCGATGCAATCATTCAAAATGACTTACAAAAGTGGGTTTTGTTTAGATATGATGATTGTAACACATACCATCATTGTAAAGAAATTTTGTTGAAATTGGCCAAGTGGTATGGAAGTTATACCTAATAAAAGCAAAATATTTAATGACCACCATTTTGAAAATAAGTACTTACAAATTTTATTTACTTATAATTAATTGTCCTCTCATAGTATTATTTACTTGCCAAATTTGAAGGAAAAAAAATTGGTTGAGTAGTTTTCGAGATATACCATAAAAACTTTATATTTTCATGTGGCACAATCTTCCAAAATTAAGGACAAAAGTCATTGTTGTATGGCTCTTAGCAAGCAAAATTTGGTTTAAATTGGTCAAACGGTATGGAAATTATTTCAAATAAACCTAAAATGTTTGAAAGACTGCCATTTCGAAAATAAGAATCTAATTGAATTCAATAACTTACATTTTCCTGGCCAATTATAGCTCAACATACGTGATAAATTTGGCGAAAAAAATTTAGCTTTTTTTCGAGATATAACGTAAATGCTGAATTTTTTCATGTGGCGCTATTACAAAATGGCTTATCAACAACAATATTCACCTCTGAATTTAATACTTCCAACTTATCCTGTCGGCATACTAAATTTAGTTTGAATCTGTTGAATGGCTTCCATAATAGGACATATCGCCCTAAATTTTCAACTTTTCGCCATTTTAAAAGTAAGTCCCCAGCATTTTTGAAAATTATAAAATTCTGGTGTCCTTACTATGTACTACATGTGTACCGAGTTTGGTGAAATTCGGTTAATGTGTTCAAAACTTCAAGGGGACACACACGTGCATAGACACACACACACACAAACACACACACAATAACATAGATACACATATACATACACGCACACAGAAACAGACAGAAAAGTGATCAAAAGACCTTTCTTTCCTTCGGAAGGCAGGCTAATAAAACATGTAAAATAGTAACAGAATCAGCAAAAAATAAAATATAGTTCATCATTGTCCCTATACACAAAACATAAAATTAAATTGAAGCAAAATGGAATTACTCTCATTTTAGTTGTTATTTATTTTACTATATACTGGCTGGTATCACTGAAACTTATTATTTGAAGATGTGGTTTGACGTTTCTTGTAGTTTTTATTCTATTCCTATCTTGTTTTAATTTTTTTTGCAGGAATGCTACAAAAATAATGGAACCTGCCAGTGACCACTACTAAAAATATTCTAACCAAGCTTGGCCATAGATGTGGAAATATACAGACTCTTATGTTTCTACACAATGTTGTTACAGTTCTGAAGATTATGTTGTTCTAAGAAAGACGGCGCAATTCACCCAAATGTTTTACAAGATTGAATTGTTGTATATTTGGTTGATATTTTAGAGCATCACTTAATTTAATCGAGGGTTAAAAGCCAACAGACAAAGGCATGTTTATAAAAGATTGCCTACATTGATGCATTTTCCAAAAATGGTTAAATGAATCATCACATATATTACACATGATATCTTTTGTAAAGTAATTCAATTCTTGAAGTTCTCCCATATGTTTGACGCAAAACTGCCTTTTGAAGACAAGCTAGCCAACAAGTTGGTTGGAACTTTCATAGTAATATTCTGTAACTGTGACATATAATCCAAAGTTAAACTTTAAATTGGGTAATTTATTTATCTGGAGAATATTATTCCATACCATGCAAGATGGTAATTTTGTTTCATATGGTGGTAGTAATTTGCTCTACGCCTAGCACTTAAAATAGAAGGGAAGAGAATAATGGAAGTTATATAATTGAAATATATATAAATAATTCAAAATGCACATCAATTTCAGATTTTGTTGGAAAATAGATCAGCGATACACTTCTTTAGTTTGCTCTGCTGATGAAAAAGGCCTATTATTTTTCTCTTAAATGTTTCGCAATTTATCCTGCAGTAGAAAAACAGATCAATGTATAATTAATGAAGTTCAAATAGTTATATGGGTCTGTCAAAAACATAAATGAACACATTTTGGATACACAGGGCCACTAAAATTGTTTTGGACTCTAAATGTAGACATTTATTTGAGGTATCTGGATACACTTTGTGGGAGAGATTGCCCACAAAAACTGCGTTGTGCTCACGCCACAGTACTTCAAAAATGTTCCTGTGTACACTAGGCTCAGGGCAGGTATTTTAGAAATATTTTAACGACATCATCTCAATAAAAGTGTTAAAAAACTTGAAACTCTTTATTTTAATGCATTGTCAAAATACAATTGTAAAACATTTGTGAAATATTTTAATGTCATATTACAATATGCTTTAAATTATAATGTAAATAGTTTATATATATATATATAGTAAAAATATGGTTTTAATATATAGTTTCAATATTTTAAATATATTGTTACAATATATTTCTCAGATAATTTTTCACGCTAAAATTGTTTTTGAAACATAGTTTATAAGTAGGGACAGGTGTTTTTCGTGAAAATATGTGTATGTTCTTCGTTCTTGCATGTGTATATTAAAGATATGGCTTCTCAAGTTCTGCTCGAGGGAAGAGTAAAATAGTTTTTTTCTTTGTTATATATATATATATATATATATATATATATATATATATATATATATATATATACACACACACAAGGTAGTGACATATAATAAGCGGAAATAATGCCAGCAATTGTTACATATGGTATATACTAATTATACTTAATAGTAATTTCATTGGGGCTTCACGTAATTTGCAATATATACCATAGAATATGATAGTAATAAGGGCTATGAAGATCGGGTTGTTTATGTAGTAAAACACGTAAAATGTATATCCAATATATTTATATCGGGTCACTAGATCATCTTTATTGCGAGAATACCTTTGGAAAACAAAACTTAATTCAAAAAATGTGATTCATAGGGGTATACAAGTATAGGTTATACAAGTATAAACAACTCTAAATAAGCAGTGTCGGAATATCATTTAATTCTTTTAAATTTTCCCAGGCTTTCCTCGTCCATATTCACGAGAGAATTGTACTAAGTAACAAATTATTAGTATAAACTATACATTTAGTATGTGATATAAAGAGATGTTCACAGGTAGTGTTTACAAGCTGTTGCCGTATATCGCAATGATACATTTGTTGACCAATAATAAACAGAGACAGGGTACATATGCGCATCGATTTTGGTTAACGTGACAGCTGGGAGAATGCACAATTTCAGTGTACCACGTGAATTTGTCTGTATGAAGACGTTTGATGTATGAATGCTATTTAGCGTGTCTAACTGCGATTATTTTCATTTCAAGTGTTGAATCAAATTACTGTCCTAGAATATGAGTGTCTCTTTGCATTTATGTTCATGTGAGGCGTTAAATATAATTATCGTACGGAAATAAGTGTTTGAGGAGTTTCGACAAACTGAATGTACGCCTACATGTTCTATAAGCGAGTTATAGGCAATAAATCGACAAGGACGTATATTCGCCGCCTACATGTGAGTAACGTAATTTAAACTCTAGTTTTGCATTAAAAGTAAGTGTATTTAATTGTACTGTGTAGTGTTTTATGTGAAATTAGGACTTGTATGTCTTATGTGCTGCTGCCGCTAGCCATGGAAAACACAGACAACCTAACCAAATTAAACTTATCTTCACATTATGTGAATCACAGGGAGTGGATGAACCACCGTGAGCTTACTTATTTTACTTTTTGTAACACACTATCTCGTGTCAGCACACTCTTCCCTTGAAATCATGTTTCGTGAAGTTAGTTTGAGATAGATTAGGTCTTCAAGCGTTTAACGTGGTTAACTAACCTAAACAATATATAATTATGTAAACTGTATGTGTTTTACCCCACAATTTCCCTGGTTATCATGGCCATCCCCACTATCGCATTTGGTAGTATGTAATGCGAATATTGTGATGCCCCTAGTAAATTCGTGCTTAGTGTAATTAGAAATTACGAATTAACGTGGCAAGAGAAATTAAACGACTTTGAACTAACTTATATTTTACGTGTTTTATCCCAAAATTTTCGTGATCGTCATAGCCCTTCCAATTATCACATTTGATAGTACCTTATGCGAATATGGCAATGCCCTTAGAAAATTAGTATTCTGTGTACAACTAACATCGATTTATACCATTTTCCGGGATTTTTTTTTGCTATTAACAGAATAATCCCTAATTTATATAATTACCATAAACAACGAAAATTAATATTTTTCCAACATTTACTTACAAATCTGCACATACGAATTAACAATTTCACACGAGAAATTAAATTAACTCAAGTTAAAGAATGCCATATTTATTATTGAATACACATATTTCTTCCTTCAAGGGAGTACATCTCAGTGGTAGAGCATTCGACTATAAATCGGGATGTCACCGGTTCAAGCCCGGGTGCCCCCTTTCTAAATCTTGAATCGACAGTTCTGTGACTCTTATTATATGTACGACCTATTGGACTTACCTTTCTCTGAAAATTAAAATTAACTCTTTAATATTTCTTTTTGAAAAAGACATATTAACTTGATTCGAATCAGAAAGTATTTATGTAGTAAAATCTCTTATAGCTGATTACATGGGCGTGCCTGATGCACGGTGAACAGCCACCTTAACGGTTGTAAGTTACGGCCTGTGTTACATAATACAAAATAGCTTAAAGTTTTAACAGCGACGTTCTGGATTTGAAATCAGAGTTATGTGTGTACATGACGGTCGTTCATTAATTCAGTTTAGTATAAGTTCAACACATAAGCTCTCCCTTCGCATTTTTAACCTATTGCAGTGGTGGATCTAGAAGGGGAGGTTCCATAGGGTCATGGTCCCTCCTGATATTGTTCTTAAAAATAGAAACGTCAAGTAAAAATATAAAAACTATACCTACCTTAAATTCACACATAACCCAGTGCTTCAGAAAAGGTAACGCACACAAAAATACTCTATTTGCGTTCAAACAAATTATTTAGTTCAAATTGCCAATGACACATATCATAGAAGGTTAACCATTCCCCACTTAATCATTCCCATTTCCAGCATAACAGAGTTGCGCTTGTACACCTGTTCACCCTTGTCCTTCGGCCTTAATCCCTACACCTCTTCCCTGTCCGCCCTTTTCCATTCCGGCATCACATAGTTACACCAAATACAACAGAGTACTCTACTGTATTTGGTTACACCTAGCACGTATTCAACACCCTCCTCCTTCTAACCACCATCGATATTGTTTACAACAATTCTTTCAGAGTATCAGTAACAGCGATTAGTCATTTTAAAAGTGTCGCCGGTAGCTGCACGCGCAGGTGATTGTGTTTCCATCGGCCAGTGAACACTGATCACATGAGCAGTGTCTACTTACTCGCAAGTCGCAACTTCATGCCACATTACAGGACTTTATTTATGGCAGGCAACATTTTTAAATAATGTTAAGAAAAATGTAACCATTAGTATTAAGGTTTAATTTATTGCCTCGCTAACATGAATTAATCATTTCATATTTGCAATCAAATTTCCACTACAAACTTTGCTTCACAAACTACCGCATATCGGCTGCATGTTATAACATAAAACTTTTACCCTCCTGTACAAACAACAAAGGGAAACGATAATACTTGTTTGAAGTGCCACAATATGTACCACACATTATAGTTATAAGTCACACTGACATTTCGTGGACTCTAAAATAACTTCAAACAAAATGTTAACTGATATGCTACATTAAACCGCATGGTTAACTATTGCAGGAGGCACTAGCTGAATTTGTTTTAATATCCGTGTGAGTTGCACGATAAACACGAGAGTCGAAACTCCATTTTGGAAAACCGACGCAGTCAAGTAAATCATTTCTTGATTGTTTGCAAAATAATTAATCTTAAGTTACCAATAGGAATATATATATATATATATATTTGTGTGTGTGTATTTATATTTGTACGTGTGAGTGTGAGTGAGTTTGTACGTGAAAAATATATTATTTAGGAAATAGACAACTGGAATCGTCCCAACACCAAAACGATGGACACATTCTTCAAAAATCGGGACATATGAAGAAGGTTTCCCAACAGCCTGGTAATGGAAGTGAAGTGGAACGTTGTCAGGAGGAAAACTGAATTGCAGTGGCTGAACTGGAACTGGAAGAACTGAATCCATATGAGCTTGAACCTGCAGTAACCGCACTGCGGGATGGAGAATCAATGACCTCTAGTGCTGGTGGTGGAGTAGGTAGTGTACACTGCCCATATTGTTTCATATCCTCAGCTATGACGAGAACTTTATTATCAAACATCTGGGATACGATACATAATACATGTTCATTACTCTGCACATTGGCAAAAAAAATATTACTTTTGCGAAACAGCTGGGCGAACGTTTCTGTATACAGTTTGTTGATACGTTTCGTTTCATGGCCCGTAGTCTGGCATCCCTGGCCGAGTACCTACAACCTTTAAGATTTATCAACACTGCGAAATTCTTCACCCCCTATAAACTACCTCTCGCCACACGCAAAGGCGTTTTTCGGAACGATTATGTCAACTCGTGGAAGAAGCTGAATGAGCTGAAGCTGCCCCCTAAAGACGCTTTCTTTAACAAGCTGACGGACTCGGGAATCAGCGACGATGAATACGTTCACGCCCAGACAGTATGGAAAGAGTTCGGCTGTAGCACTCGTAAGTGTTACTCAGAATTTATTGTATTTGAAGACAGATGTGCTAATTCTATCAGACGTATTTGAAAACTTTAGAATTGTGTGTATGTCAACATAGAGGCCCGATTGTGTACACTACATCAGCGCCCCAGGTTTTGCTTTCGATACTATGTTGTGTATGACGGGAGTCGAGATCGAACTTCTGGACTATAGCGCGCACATGTTTGTAGAAAACGGAATTCGTGGTGGCGTGGCCCAGTGCGTCAAACGTCATGCGGTAGCAAATAACACCTTTGCGTCACAAACATATGACCCCAGCAAGTCCACCACGTTTTTGCAATAACTCGACGCAAACAACTCGAACGGCTGGGTCATTTCGCTACCGTTGCCAGCACGCAATTTTAGGTGGGCCGATGTGAACATCGATATAATGTAACATTCCAGGCGATGCTTGTACTGGCTATATTCTCGAAGTCGATGTCGAGTACTCCGCGACCCTGAACGATGAACATCGTGATTTGCCATTTCGTCCCGTTAACCAATGTCGCCCGGGCTCCAAAATAAGAAAAATTACACCGTCCACTACTGCAACGTAAAACAGGCTCTCGAACATGGATTAAAGCTTACGAAAATACATAGTGTACTTGAATTCGTACAAAGTCCCTGGCTAAAACCCTACATTGAGCTCAACACCGCAAAACGTCAAGACGTCCAGAACGATTTCGAAAAAGAATTCTTTAAATTGGCGAATAATGCAACATTCGGAAAATGTATGGAAAAATAAAAGAAAAACCCAAAATATGTAGCTAGTGTTCAGAAAAAAACTACTTTAAAAAACTGCTGGTGACACCGCCATTCTTAGACCTAACAATTAGTAGTGATAATCTTTCCCTTATCCATCTACAGCATGAATTTCTTCTCTTTGATAAGCCTATCTATGCTGTGTTCACTGCCCTCGAATTATCAACAACTTTAATGTACAATTTCCATTACGATGTGATGTAGGCCCGGTACGGAGATGACCTTGAGCTCTTGCATATCGACACCGACTTGTTTCTGTTGCAGATTCGAACCCCAGATATTACCTAGATTTGGCCAACGATCGCAAATTTAAAAATCAATTTCATACAAGCGTCTACCTAATCACACACCCCTGCTACTCGGACACGAACAAGAGAGTGCGGGGAGGGAAATAATGATAGAATTCGTGTGGTTACGACACAAACACAAATTATTTTCAGAATATATAAATAAATTGGCCCTGACATGGACGGATGACAAGATGCGGATACAGGACGATGGCAGACACACACTACCGTGCGGGTACATTTCAACATACAAAAATATCTATTATAACATTCGTTTCACTCACATCTGCGTATAGAGATACATCAGGTCCACTGATTGCATGCATTGATATGTAGCTACCGCTCGATCAGCCATACACATGGATAACGTAGGTGGAAACGGTGTCAACATGGTATAAAATGCTTGCTGGTTCCTGGGAGAGGGTGAATGAGGCCGGGATGCAAGGGCGGTTCCTCACCTCGGGGGTGTCAAATCTGAAGCGATTTCACTCCCCCTTCTCCCCCAACGGAATACATAATTTCATCATAACGGGCCGATGTGCGGCGCTAAAATGCGAAGTGTGCTTAAAGGCTGTTCACGATAAAGTGAGCACTTTTGAAATTAACATTAGAAAAGTGCCACTGCCCCTACCTGCATATATTTTAATGGGTGCCCTGAATGACATACGGCACAGTAAAGTTCCGTAGTTCCGTATCTTAACGACGAATAAAAAGTGTTGGGTAACCATTTGTGATAACTTAAAGTATTTCTTACTCTTACTGTTTTTTAATGCATCGAAGTGTGAAAATTACCAGATTTGTTAAATATTTACTTTTATAATAATTTCACAGTTTAACTTGACCAAGGCACGTATAAAATGATGAGGCCCATGACAATGTTAAGCTTGCATAAGGCGGAAGAATACACAACGTGCATACAAGTAGATACTAAGCAGGGCTTTCAAAAGTGCTCACTTTACCGCAAATAGCCTATACCATTTTCGCTTTCGCAATTTAATATTTGCAATTACGCACATAAACATGGGTTCTGCATCACTGGTCAACGAGGGTTTAAAGTCAATTCCTGGAAGGTTCCAGTGCTTACCCACCTGTCGAAATTGTGAGGTGCAAAATGGTGGCTATATGGTACCCTCGAAAAAACATCTGGAGGTGGCACTATATTTGTAACTTGTTTTTTGTGCTTCTGCGGCAGTCGATTTACTTTCCATTTTCCCCCATGACAGTTTGTTTTCTATGATTTTATATCTTATGTTTTTTATTCTGCTTATTAGTTTACTCGCTGGTTCGGGGTTTTTTTCACTTTAATTGTCTGTATGTTTCTCGATTTCCATGTTTACTTACGTTTCCTCGAGGGTGCCTGTATAGTACTGCATTAATTAATATTTGTTTCGTCGTTGAACCTGCTATTATTATACTTTGGTGAGTTGCATACCTGTTTGGTGGCATTTTTTCTGCTCGTTAATATTTTTTCAGCATTGGTCCTGGAATGTTTAAATCTTTTTTGGGCTACGCACTCCTGTACTTGTGCGGAGGCGGATGCTGTGGAGGAGGCGGGAGGGAGCTATGGAGCTATGGAGCGATGGAGCGAGTGGAGCAAGTGGTGCAGGTGAATTTTTCGGGGGGGGGGGGGGATTATTTCTTTCTGCACCTGTATAGAGTGTTTTTTTTCTCTCTCT